TACATCTGGAAACTCCCGGGCGGAGGAGGAGGCGGAGCCGCCGTAGCGCAGCCGTTTGGGGTTGGTATCTGCGGCTGCTGTTTCGAACGGAGAAGAGACGCCGGCGATGGGGACGTAGATCGGAGAAGAGGCGAAGGGTCGGTGGAGGTGGTGATGAGGAAGAAGACGTGACTGAGGCGTGTCTTGATCGAGTGATTCTTTGGGTGATGAAGAGGAGGAAATTTGCTGAGTGGCTTGTGGATGTGGTTTTTTAGATTGAGATTCCCCTTTTGTTGTCTCACCCATTTCAAGAAGTCCCCGAAAGAAAGGACGAGAAAAGCCCAAGTAACAAGTGCCGATTAATCGAGAGAGAGAGAGAGGAACGAGAGGAACAAGAAGAACCAGAGAGAGATTTGATATCGAGAGAGAGAGGAAATATAGTTGGAGAGTAGGGCATAGTCTTTTAGCAAGGGTTTGGGGTTTTACGAAGAAAGGGACTGTTAGGGTTTGTAGTGTTTTGTGGTGGGTTTTGTATGTTGGTCCGAAATGGAACACAAAAAATCATTTTAAAAAGGCAATAAATAACATTCAAGCAAAAGTCACAATACCCTTCACTTTATTATTATTATTATTATTATTTTATGATTCTGATGTTGTCCTAGTAATTAAATGCATAGCCTATCTCAAAGTTCGATGAAATCGGGTTTTGTATATGATAATCATATCCGACCTTAAATTATATTCGAATGGTTTTGTGTGTTCCACAAAAAAGAATTGAAGTTGTATTCGGAATAAAGGTATGCATGATTATAGACTTACACGTGAAAATAAATAAATGCTTAGCCTTGATTTTCTCTATCTTAGGTCCATGATTATTTCCGTACCTCCATGATATCTAGTGAACATTTGGTATATTTTTTAATTATTTAATTTTAGTTTTTAAAATTATTTTATATTAATTCATGTTCAATTTTTATTTTTGTTGTATTATTTTTTTATTACACAAGAATTAATTTATTTTTTCGATTATTTTCAATTTTATTTTTTTACAATAATACAAAATTAATTTTTTAATTAAATTTAATTTTATATATCCAAAGTATTTATTACTTCATCTTTAAAACATGTCATGTTTTAGGTAAATATAAGAGAGAGAGAGAGAGAGAGATTGTGGAACCTGGCATGAATAAGACACTTCAGCTAATCAGTTAATATAACCACACATTGCAATTGTTGATGTCTGAATTTTGACAACTTAGAAAAGAAAAGGTAAGAGAGTGTCATCATTGTACTTAGACTGCAAACCAACGCAGCTTCTCTGCCCAAAATTATTTATTTATTTATTTATTATTGGTATTCTTTCAAACAAACATTGTCTTTCATTTATTTATGTAAATGAAATTATATTTTTTTTTTTGGAATTATCGCAGATTTTATTTTAACAAGAAGAAAAAGGGGCTAATTAATAAACCCAAAGTGTAAAAAGGGACTGAGAGTGTGTGTGTTTGTGATAAAAGGCATAGCAGGAGAGATGTGGACGCATCGTCTCCATGCTTCTGATCCCATTGACTCCCATTGTCAGCTCTCTTTTTTCACCAACGCATCCACTATTTAACCTTTTATTCCATTTTTTTTACCGCATTAATAGTAATATTAATTTCGTATCATAATTAAAAAAATGTATGTTTACATATGTGATATTGTTAAAATAACTTAACTGTAACTAATTCCACCTACATCAGTGGTTTGGAGAAATTTATAAACTTGTAGAAATAGCAGAGGCTTTTGTAATTGACGAACCGTTAAAAAACAGATTGACAAGTGAAAATGATGGGCATGTATATACATACACACATTGACACATACATACATACATACATACATACATACATACATACATACATACATACATACATACATATACATACACACGCACATTCTCTCTTTCGTTCTTTAATTTCCATTGAAAGCCCCAAGATCATATCTTTCTCTCTCTAGGGCGGCTGCTGCTCAGCTAAACGCGCTCTTTCTCTCTCTACACACAAACATATCCTTTTCACTGCTTTCTCTGCATGCAACGTATAATACGATGTTGCTACAAAAGGATACACACATGCCAATGCTTCATTCATTCATTCATTCTTTCATGTATTGTTATTTTGCTTCTATTCCTTCTCATCTCTTCGAACCACATTGAATTGTATGAAATAGTATTTAATTTCGCTCAGTTTAAATTTTAATGTGGTATCATTTTAATAATTTAAACAATAAAATTTCAAGATAAAAAATAATTGAAAAAATTGAATTGATTTTTTTTTATATTTTATCTAACAGAGATCTAGACTAAATATACAAAATTGAAACAAATATAATTCTTTTAAGATCTAAACATTTATTAAAAAAAAAAACTGTCAAACCCCAAATTCCATTTTTTCTTCTTTCTTTTTTTTGTACAAGTATTCCGATACTTGAACTATTTCAACTCTGTTAGCATAGTTTTCAACGTTTATAAATAATAAAAAAAAAACTTACTCGACGTCTATATTATCCAAAGATGTGAATGCTCCACTAGAAAATGAGGTTAATTAGACATTAAAACACCCATGTACTAATCAGCTATTATTTTAAAATAACCGAATTCTATTTAATTATTTTTGCCGACCCTTTTCAATAAGTTATAAAAGCCGTCAAAGGCTGATCAGAGGAATGTATCATGAATCAAGTTTTTGTAGAATTAGTTTTTCTAAAAATTTGAAAAACCATTTTAATGAAAAATACACTAAAAACTAAAAAAAAACTCCATTTTTTTTAGATTTCCAACAATCAAAACTAAAAATCAAAAATCAAAATCCAAAAACTAAATCCATAAACCCAAAACAAAAACTATATCCCTTCAACAACTTACTCATATGTATATAGGATGCTTACGATTAGAAAACTACCTTCTACTGGTAATATATATTTATAATACCTAAGAATCATATAAAATACTATAATCTTTCACACACACAAAAAAAAGAAACTATAATTTGGTCAGAGTCTGCGATGTCTTCATTAAGCATCGATCGTTTAGGGGCATCAATGCTTTGGGAGCGTATAAAAAGACTATAATTTGGTCAGTCTCTAGGGTTCTCTTTGTTTTCACGATATAACGTGTATATATATATGTACACACGCATATATATATATATATATATATATATATATAGTTGAATACATGATGTGTGTATATGTGCGTTAGATCTGTGTCGCATGCACAAAGACAGATGCACTTTGGGATTTGTGAGTGTTCCTGAGGTTGTTCGTTATCAGTTTTTACATTGATGCCCCTTCGCCTTTTCTTGTACTTGGAAAATTTCCCCTCTTCGGTTTAAATTTCACTTTTTTCCATCTTTATTTATTTATTTTTCTTAGCAATGATCTTCAACAAGCTAGAAGAAATTGTTTAGCCCAGAAATCGTTTGAATAATATGTTGAAATCCGTTTATGCGATTTGTTTTAATCACCATATAATTATTTGACCAAGTAGCATAAAATGATAAATATATGATGAAAGAAACCGATCCTTAATTCGGGAGATGAATTTTGAAATTGGACCGGAATTATTTCGAATTCGGGCTTCTGATCAGATGGGCCCGCCCATTTCTTTTTCTTCTGGGCTAAAACGTAATCCTCGAAGGAAGGTGAGATGAACGGAAACGAGTCACGTACATACATACATACATACATACACATACATACATACATACATACATATATATATATACGTACACGCACGATAAACCAAGTATTGTTGCAAGAGTGAACAGTTCTTTAGTCGCTTGAAAAACCCGGAAATGAAGTTTGCTCTTATTACAGGAGATGGAGTTTTGTGAGCAGTTTGGGTTTAGATTTAGAACCGAACATGTTCTTTCCTTTCACTCTCCTGCCCTCTCCAAATCAAGACGATCAGATTCAACTTTTCTGCGGTAAACCAAGAGGGCTTCTTCAATGGCGTTTGACTCAGCCAACTCCGCTGCCCTCTCAAGCCTCTCGCGCCCCAGCTTCAGGTACACTCCGAGAACTACTCGTGGATCGTACCCCGCTGCGGCCTGCAGTATCAAACCTATGCGGTCTGCTTCTGTCGTGTTTGCTCTGATTCAAAAAAAAAAAAAAGATCCGATGGATAATGAAGATAGTGATTGGCCCCTTAGTTTTCTCCTCCAACTATAAACCTAGCAAGAACCAAACTCATGCTAACAATGTTTACAAGACCCAAATGTGTGAATTCTTTTATCCTGCACACAAAGAAGTACACCTTTTGATGTGGAAAGTAACTCTTTTTCACAACCAAGGAGCCGACAGTTGTAGAAGAATAATCCATAGAGAGGAACACTATAAGATGTCTAAAAGGATCGGAGGAGACTTACTTGAAGAGAATCATCCAGGGAACTAAGAGAAAGAGCGCCACCATTAGACCGAACTCAGTCCAAATAGCCTCAGTAACGAACGGACAGAGAAACAGTAGGAGGATCACCAAGCAAAACCAGTAGGAAGTTTCCTCTGCTAAGTGTCGGGCAACGACACTACCGATCTATGATCAGAGAATGCAACACAGAAAACATCACAAGTACAATCGAATTATGAGCCTTCACTAACAACATTTCGTATTCTTCAAATACCAATTATACCTCAGGTCCGATCACAGTGGCAATCTCTGCATCTGTCTTGAAATCTTTGAGCAAACCAGTGTATACCACTATCTTCCCAGAAGAAAAGCAATATGCTTTAGCGGCCCGACCCTTAACCACGATAACTTCCCAGTCCAGCCCCTCTAGGTGAGAAATCGAGGGTTGTGATCCTCCTTTCTCCTTACCATTCTTCCTGCTTTGCTGAATCCATACCTCATCTACAATCTCCTCTTGTTGAGACCACTGCATCCCACTCAGTCCCATTGGCGTATCCTTGACTGCTTCGTCATTCTCCGTAGAGGTACCATCCGTGGACGCATACCCCACACTCTCCAGGCTCAAACTTCTCTGCATCCCTTCGATGATATTCTTCACGATCGATTTAACCCTAATGCTGTCGGGATGATCCGCAGGGAGTATTCTCCCCTGGAACCCATATTCTATATGCTGAAACCTTAATTCATCAACCCATTTCTCGACCGATTTAGGTCTAAGAACGAAATGCCCCCGTTGCGAGTAAGGAACAGTCTCTAGATTCCAATAAACGGTGACCAAAACCCCTGAACTCACAAGCACCGTCGCCAAGACGGCCGCAAGGTCTTGGAGCCACTGTCTCTCTTCCGGTGGCTTGAAAGGACGAACCTGGTGACGATCAACACAGTCAAACTTCTTGGGAATGCTCAGAAACCGGTTGCAGGCATTGATGTTCGTGTTCCCGAGAGAGTTACAAAAGCTTAAACCTGATTTGCGGGAAAAAATGGAGAACCCGGAAAACTTAGCTGATAGATTTGAAGACCCGTTCCCATGAACTGTGGAGAAAGCGTTGGAACGGGGAGAAATCGGCGAAATCCTCGGAGCATTCTTGATATTTCTTCTGGAGCTGGCGAGGAAGAGCTTAGCTCTTCGGTACCAAGACATGTCGCCGACGATGGAGAAAGGTGAGCGAAATGTTCAAGAAGCAAATACAGAGAGAGAAATGGAGAAAGATCAAAGAAGAAGAAGAAACACGCATTTCACATACGCAGAGTCCAGGTGGAGCAACACGCAACATGTGAGGATAACTAACCTTCGCAATTGCAGTGAGAAAAATTACATCTTTGCCCTCTTCTTCTTCACCATGGCAGCAGTCTCTTCCCTCTTTTAATCGTGTTTTGCTTTTTAAATTTCAATTTTTTCCTCTGTTTTTTTATTTATTTATTTCAATTTAAATAAGTGACCCACTAAACTAGGATCCACATTTCAATATTCTAGTTTTGGCAAATTAATAATTACACTTTACTAGCCTCAAGATTTTAGTGGAAATTTATGCGAGACACCACAAAAGTCATTATATCAAAAATATCTTTAATTTGTTATTTTTATTTGAAGACCTACCCTTATAACTATGTGACCGAAATATATTATGGTCATACTTTGATTTTATCGATTATAACGTTAAATTTATGGTGATCATACTAATTCATTATGTTCATACCTTATATATCTATAACGCCCGAAACCCGCATCCCGCAATACGAGTTGCGTCACATGTACAAGTAAAATAAAATCACATTTCCAAAAAACTGCGGGAATTTAAAACTTTTCTTTTCAGAATTAGCGGAAAAAAACACTCGTACGTACATATATGATACATTATTTCCAATTATAATTATACATAATCAAGTGGTAGTGATAAAATTATTACAAACCTTAAATTCTACCACCGATATAAACAAAACCTTCCCCAAAATATAAATGTATCAAAATACGTAATTATATATGATCGGTAGATATGCCCTGCCCAGGTCTCCGATGTCCGCTCCTCGGCTACTGCTGCTCGCGACCTGAAACGTTGCGCAACAACGTCCTAAGCTAATTGCTTAGAGAGTGAACTCGGGCGTAACCCGGAGTTCCATTGTCATGGTGCCAGGGAAAGCATGTGACACCCGTAACCCGTGTACAGCATACGGGTTGTGCCACATGGACGATATAAAATAAAATAATAAGTCGCGGAAGCAAAATCACGAAATCCAAAAAAAATATTTTTAATCAAACCAGAGTAAGCAGCGTAAAATACAACAAGCGATTAGTATCGCAAAATACCACATGTCCGAATAGATATAATTTAACCGTACAAAATGCGGGAAATACAAGTCCCGTAATTTTAGAGTACAAATCTCGTACATGATGCTGCTTCTCTCAAGTCGTCGTCGTCCGGGGCGCTAGGCGTAATCCTCGTGATCTGAAAAATATAAACCACGAGGGCTAAGCACAACTGCTTAGTGAGTAGCCCGGGTTGAACCCGGTCATCCCGTTCCCAGCGAGAACGGTGATAAAACAATGGTATACAAGAAACAAGCAAGTAATCACATCAATCATAATCACACTCGTATGGAGTCCACCATAGGGTTTAGCCATATACCCTAGTCAAGTCCATGACTAGGAGCGCATCCACGCCCATCAAGTCCATGACGTTGGTCGTCGTGTCGCACACGACTAAAACACGTCTCAATTACCCGTCAAGTCCATGACGGTGATGGTTGAGTCCACAACCATCCACAAACACAATCATGCTTGGCTCGTACGCACGAGGCAAGCTATACACATGGCAAACAACGTGCACATATCCCTATAGTACAATGATACGCATCACGACATCCGGTCCCAACCGAGCTACCATTCAACGCCATGCAATTCTACCCGCAAACAATCACGCAACGGCCACTCGTATCTCAATATCGCACTCCTCACTACGCTACGCAACGTCTTGGCGAAGGATCGGTTCGATTGATCCCAATCACGAAGTTTTCTCCTTGGGTTGGAGCTTGGTTCGCCCACGGTCAAGTCTGGTCGGGCCCGGGCCAACCCCGTTGGTCGTTTCCTCTTTCCCGGTCGAAACCGAAATTTTTTCTCTTTTCTCCGAGCTTGGTCAGTCCCGTACCAGAGCCACCACGTGTATTCATTCAATTTGTTCATTTTTGTCTTCGCTTTCCTCTTAGGTTTGGTCTGGTACAGACCGGGATTTGGTCCCGGCGGACCGGATCCGGTTCGTCCCGCGAAAACGGTCGATCGGATGAGTTTTTGGTACAAAACTGACCTGGTCCGCAGGACCAATTTCTGGTCCGGGTCGGACCAGGCTTCCTCAGTCATTTCCCCTCGGTCGGGCGGACTGAATCATTTTTCCCGGACTTGGTCCGGAGCTGACCAGCTCCTGGTCCGGCGGACCGGAACTGGGCAGTTCGTCCGTTCGCGTTCCAGGTTTCAGGTCCGACTTCGATTGCTCATAACTCTCTCATTTCTTATCCAAATCACGCACCGTTTGTTTCTAAATGTTCATTGTAATGTCCTCTTTAATATCCAAGCAATAGATTATTTAACCATTATGTATACAGGCTGAAATAAGATTCGTAATCCATATACATCATGAACTCGCAACACTGCAATTTCCAGTTTTCTTATCAGTTTTCATTCACGCATATCTCCCTCGTTTCTCAACCAAATTGAGTACCGTTTGTTTCTAAATCTTCATTGAAATGTCATCTTTCAAACCCAAGCAACAAAGCATTGCAATATCACAGTCACAGGATGAAAATGAGAGTACACAGAAGCAACTCAAGCCACTCACTTGTTCTTGAGGTTGTCCGAGCTTGTGTGCGTTCTCTGCTTCTCCTCACGCCGTAAACACCTTCTGGGTACGTCTAGGGACGTTCCCTTTTGCTTCCTCGAGCTTCCTTTGCCCTGATTCGTCGCCTATGTCTCGCTCTCTCCCTCTTTCTCTCCTTCCTCTGTTTTGTCCGAAAATGGCTATGTGTGGAGGTTGAGGGAGACATTTGTGGGCGACGGGGAAGCTTCAGAGCAAGGAGACAGCTCTAGGGGATAGGTGGGACTCCTAGGAATGGCGGCTCGTCGAGTTTTCCACGCGTGGGGCTCATTTGCTTCCGGAAAAATCGGGTCAAAGTTGCTGCCGACACATGTGGGGAAGGTTGTTCTCTCCGTGCCCGTTTGGTCCGTCCGAGTAGTCCTGGTCAGCCCCTGACCAACCTTGGTCCGGCTGACCAAGTCCACATTCCTTCTTTTCTTCTTCTTGGTCCGTCCACCAAG